ATTTTTGTCATCAATATTGTTGATTGAACAGATAGTTGCTAGAACCACAATTGAAACTGGTGCATGGAAATAAAAGTATGTCAGGCCTCTTTCCTCATTAAGGTCTTAAGATTTCAATTCATCCTATTCAATCGGGCCAAGCAAATGCAACAGTTCAATAATAGAAATGTACAATACCATTGTAGGGTTATGTATTTGGACAATAATGGAATGTATAATTTTTAATCATTTATTTCAGTTTTAATGTTTGATGAAGTAGAATTCTTATTCATTATAAAATAATTAATCACAATTTAGGTATATATAATTATTTGCTGCACAGTTCACCCAAAAAGCTGTATGACTTTCTTTATTCTGTGGAACTTAAAATAAATTATTTTGAGAAATGTGTGAGACATGTTTTTTTTTGTCTACACAATGGAACTGATTTATTAGCAACATGTTTTAAAATATCTTCTTTTGTGTTCCCACAGAAAAAATACAGGTTTGGAACGACAGGAAAGAGTAAATAATGACAAAAAAATTTAATAAAACTGTCCCTTTAACAAATTAAATAAGGGTATAAGATGAATTTGATATAAAAAGAGATTTTAATACAAAGAAACATAAGAGATTTGATATAAGAGACAGTATTTTCAAATGTATTGCATGAATAGCATATATGTATATGCAACTGTCCTCACTATTTATTTTAATGTGTTTCCCAATATGCTTTAACAGAGGTATATAATGTTTGGCGGGTGTAGTCACTTTGTCGCTAGGTAGGGTGTTAAAGAAAGGTGTTGGTCACTTAACAAGGAGAGATATAATTTCTTTTTATGAATATTGCCACTAACGCTAGTACTTACATCATAGTTAAACACTTATTTCAACAAAAAGGTACCCACTGTTCTTTTCTTAGGACAGCAACCACATACAGGACATTCCCTTGATGAAACCAAGCACCTTTTCAATACATACAAAAAAGGGAATTCCTCTTGTAAGACAGAGCCATAACTATGATTCTCAAAGAGTTTCTTCAAAATGGTCAGTAGACGTTTTTGGTATTCAACAATTAGTATAACATTATGATTTCTTAATAATTGTTTTATTAATGTTTCTTAATAAATATAATGAGTATTTCAGTCATGTTGGAAAATGAACTAATAATTCATTTCCAGAATTGTTTTTCTTTTCCATAGGTTTGGTTAACCTGTGAGAATTCAGTGAATGTGATGTTTATGATGATTTCAAACTTTATTTTTTATGACAGGGTCATGACTGCACGCTTGTCTGCCCTTTAGCTTTATCCAGGTCAGGTACAAAAAGCTATTGTGAATAAAACTGTACACTGATATTCCTCTGTTTCTGACTGAACTCCCTTTTGTTGAAAATATCACATCCCAGAGGATTTGAAATGATCAACCGCTTTGTTTGTCTGGATCTCAAAGGTGTGTCCAGCTTCTGCTGTGCTGTCTGTTTAAGTTCAACTCATCACACCCTCTATACCAGGGGTGCCCAACCCTGCTC